AATGAATCCTTGACAACTTCCGTCTTTTGTCCATTTAACACAGTGCTGCTTAGTGGTCCAGCTGTGAGGATTTTTGTTTTCCTTCAGTTGAGGTACAATCTGTACCGAAGGCTGTAGCCTTTGATCTTCGTCAGTAAGTGCTTCAAGGCCTCTCTGCTCTCAGCAAGGCTGTGTGGTCTGCAGACCTGTTGATGAGTCTTCCGCCAGTCCTGACGCCATGTTCCTCTTGACAGGCCCAGCTTCTGGGACTGTTTGCTCAGCATACAGATTGAATGAGTAGGGTGTAAGCATGCAACCCTGACACACACCTTTCCTGAGTTTAAACCACACAGTGTCCCCTTAAGGAGCTCTGGTGGAGTAGTGGGTAAGGCCTTTGGTTGCTAACCAAAAAGTCAGTGGTTCAAACCATCAGCTGCTCCGTGGGAGAAAGATGAGGCAGCCTACCTCCATAAAGATTGACAGCCTTGGGAACCCAGTGGGGTCACTGTGGGTCAGAGTTGACTGCATGGCAGTGGGTTTGGTTTTGGTTTTGGTTCGTATCCTCTCGTTCTGTTCAAAAAACTGCCTCTTGTGTGTGAGGGTTCATTAGCACAATGAAGTGTTGTGGAATTGCATTCTTTACAGTGAACCATCATTTATTATAATCCGCACAGTCGAATGCCTTGCATAGTTATTAAAACATTATGACTACGTTATTGTAAAAGTTAAGGAAAGGTTTATCTATTGGAGGACATTTTCTTTGTTGGTTACCAGGGGTGGGGGGGAGGGGAGGGAATGCTGTTAGATAGATAGAGATAAATATTGATTTGGGTGAAGAGAAGGGCAATGTACCAAATGTGAGTGACCAATATGGCAGCATTGAGGATGAGAAAGACATAGAGAGTTACATGGGCAGTACAGACAACAAATATGAAACCTTTTGCATATACAGTACTGAGTTGTCAGTGAAAGCAAACATGGGTATATGGATGGATAAATAGGTGAACAAGCTAAACAATTAGGTATGTCTAAATGGAGAGTGTATCCAAGATCATATATAGGGTTGGCAGACAATGGTCCTATAAGTTTATGTGAATGATCAGAATTCCCAGGTGTATAGTAGAGCTGACAAGGGGCAAGGTTATGGTCATTGCTTGGTCACAGCCAGCTACCCAGAGGGACCGAGTAGTTGATCCTGCGGGCTTGGGACCATAGTCGCAGGGGACATCAAGCTCAATTGGCATAACATACTATATAAAACATTGTTCCACCTACTACTTTGGCGAGTAGTGACTGGGATCTTAAAAGGTAGCAAGCTGCCATCTAGATGGAACAACGGGTCTCTCCTTGTCAAGAAGAAAGAAGAAAACCAAAATTAATGGAAACAATCAGTCCTAGCGACTGGTACACCACCCGATCTGCAACCTATACTACTATGAGACCAGAAGAACTAGATGGTGCCCAGCTACCACTGTCATCCACTTGGAAGGGATATAGGAGATCCTGCATAGAGAGGGAGAACAATGTGGAACAAAACTCAAACTCATTTGGAGGCAAAAAAAAAAAAAACAGAAGATGGAGACCAGGTTTGCTGGTCCAATAGAGCCTGGTGGAACCACTGAGACTATGGCCCCTAGCTGCCTTTCAGGTCTGGAATTGAACCCACAACTGTGGTTTCCAGCCAAACAAGGTACAGGCATGTGAGTTAAACATTTACCTCAAGTAGGCACACGCCCTGGAGAGAACAATCATGGGAGAAGGAAGGGCTGCTTATGCACAGGGAGATAGCTCAGGGTGCAGAAGAGTATGAAGGGATGGACACTGGGAGGAGGTAACTATGGGGAGGAAGTGGGAGGGGAGCTGCTGCATTGTAAATTTTGGTCAATGACATGAGACAAAGTATATGTGAACTGCTGTATGAAAAGTGAATTTACTCTCTAAATCTTCACCCAAATCCTAAAAAAAAAACAACAACATTATGACTAAAAGTAAGTATCTTTCTGGTATCCTCTACTTCAGCCAGGATTCACCTGATGCCAACCGTGACAGCCGTCCTTCCACGTCCTCTTCTGAATCCAGCCTTTGGCACTGCTGCAACCATTTTTGAGTTACTTTCAGCAAAACTGTACTTCTGCATGACAGTCTGATGTTCTTTGATAGCTCCCGCGTGCAGGTGTGGATGCCCTTTCTTTGGAATGGGCACAGCTGTGGATCTCTTCCGGGAGCTCTGGGGGCGCAGCCCCTAAGGCATCTGACTGCTGACCAGAAGGCTGGCGGTTCAAACCCACCAGCCACTCCTCGGAAGGAAGATGGGGCAATCTATGTCCATAGTGTTACTTCTTTGGAAACCCACGGAGGGGTCGCCATGAGTCAAGATCGACTTGACAGCAGTGGGTTTGGTGTTTGGTTTTTATGGATCTCTTCCAGTTGCTTGGCCAGGTCTTCCAGTTTCTTGGAGGCTTTTGGAAAACTGAAGAGGGACTTTTGTTTTTTTTCCAGATTTTATTGTGATTTGGATGAAAGTTTACAGAGCAAATTCACTTTCCATACAGCAGCTCACATACACTTTGTCTCATGACATTGACTGCAATTTCCCACAATGCAACAGCTACCTTCCCACTTTCCCCCCATAGTTGGCTCTTCCCTGTGCCCATCCCTTCATGCACTCCTGCCCCCCGAGCTGTCTCCCTGCGCATACACAGCCCTTCTATTCTCCCATGATTGATCTCTCCAAGGAGTGTATCTACCTAATGTAAATGTTCAGCTCCTATGCCTGTCTTTTGTTTGGCTGGAAGCCACAGGAGTGGGTTCAATTCCAGACCTGAAGGGCAGCTACGGGCCACGGTCTCAGAGGTTCCATAAGATTCTGTCAGACCAACAAACTTTGTCCCCCGCCGCTTTTTTTTTCCCAAATGATTTTGAGTTTTGTTCCACATTGTTCTTCCTCTCTATCCAGGATCTCCTACATAGATCCCGCTCCAAGTGGTTGACAGTGGTAGCCGGGCACCATCTAGTTCTGGTCTTAGAGTTGTATAGGCTGCAGATCGCATGGTGCACCAGTCCCATGGGCTAACTGTTTCCACGTGTCTTTGCTTTTCCTCATTCTTCTTTCTCTGGACGAGGAGGGACCATCGTTTCATCCAGAGGCGACTTGCAACCTTTGAAGATCCCAGCTGCTACTCTCCACAGTAGATGTGGAACAATGTTTTGTGTAGTATGTTATGCCAAGTGAGCTTGATGTCCCCTGGGACTGTGGTCTGGAATGGGGCTTTTCAAAGAAGGCAGCCCGTCTTGTAGGTCATGCTTGGAGGCCCAGCCTGGTGCAAAGCCGGTCCATGGAGCTGCAGCTGCCGGTGCGGCCCCAGAGGAGGCACCTCAGTGTCTGCCAGGCCTCTGTGCTGGCTCCTCAGGGCTGCAGCCCTGGGCACCGTGGGGGTCGGGGGGCATTCTTTGCTTCTGTGGTGAACTTATCACAGCTCCCCGTCTTGACAGAAGGCTGAGCTGTGCCTCGGGTGGCTGGGAGGGTGCGGGGGCGCTGGCTGGGAGGGGTGTGGGGGCGCTGGCTGGGAGGGTGTGGGGGCGCTGGCTGGGAGGGTGTGGGGGCGCTGGCTGGGAGGGGTGCACAGCGCCTGGTGCCAAGAGGACCCTCTTTCAAGTCAAGTCAGTTGCCGGGGACGTGCAGGTCTGGGCTTGTCTGCTGCACGGCCTCCAGGTCCTGGTGACGGCACAGCTGCCAGTTGGAGAGAGAGCCCCGCGAGAAGCCAGGGAGGCGTTCCTCTGGCATCTTTGGTGACAGCATCACGTTTTCTGAAGGCCTTTCTGGTGTTTCTTGCCCCGTTGTCGATGCAGCAGTCCCCCCAACGGGCCGATTTCTCTGGTGGGAGCGCCCCCGGCAAGGCCCACACTACGGGCCTCCTCCTCTCGGAGCCACCAGGCTGGGAGACCTGGTCTGGTTTCTGGCAGATGCCAAGGTTCCCTGTGGCGTGGGCACCCTCCTTTCTGACCCAGCGAGACCCACGGCCGGAAGCCTCTTCTGGGTCTGGTCTGCAGCCGGTCGTCGGGGCTGCCTGTGTCCTCCCTTCGGCCTCGGGCTCTCCTGGCCCGTGACTGGTTCTGGCCAATGCTGCCAAGTGGACTCTGGCCCACAGGCCCCTGTGTGCACAGCAGGGCTGGTCCGTGGGCTTTTCAAGGCCATGACCTTTTGCAGGCAGATCCCCAGGCCCACAGGGGGTTTGAATCACCAGCCTTTGGGCTTCACCGTTGGTGCCACCCTGAGGTTTGACTCTGTGCTTGGTCTCTTTGCTGCAGCTGTTGGGCGCTTGGGGTCTTCCTCACTGGCTGAGAGGTGACGACAAGGGTGGGTGGGGTGTGGACGACAGATTTCGTTGGCTTTGGCCTGGAGACCTCCGAGGGCTGGGCTATACCCTCTCTGACAGTGGCTGACACAAGGGCTCGTGGGAGGGGGGTGCTGCACTCGGCAGACGGTCCCCGGAATGGGCCTCTGGCCTCTCCCACCCCCGTGTGGAGGGTCTGTTCACCTTGTGAGGATCGGGGGTCCTCTGACAGGAATTTGAGGGGCTGGGTGGCCACCGTCATGTGTCACCAAGTGGCCGCTCATCCGACGAACTTTCGTGGGCAGCCTTGGTCATTCACATGCACCCTTGGCTCCGGAGCGGACTGGATCATGCCGCCGACCGGTCGCCCTCCAGAGCAGCATCAGCGCCCCCTCTAATTGGCGGGTTTGTGTGGGGTTGGCCACTTGTCCCTCCTTTCCAACTGCCCTCCCTTCCTCCCTGGGGTCTGGCCGAGCCTGGGTGTCGTGCTGCCCCCGAGGTGTGGAGTTCTGTGTACCCTCAAGTGACCTGCCCCTGAGCTGACCCCCCAGCTGCCGGGACACAGTGACCTGTTCACACAGGTGAGGTGCTGGCACTGGTGGGCCTGCGCCAAGGCCCCGCCAGGTCCTCCGTGTCTGGGACACTCCTGCAGCCGGGCAGGCCCCACTGATGTCATTTCTGGTTCAGTTTCCAGGCGGAGCGGCCAGCACTCAACGTGGTCATCTTCCCCCTGCTCCACGAGGGCCTGACTGATGTCATCCGGGATGTCCCGCTGGTGCACCTGGACGAGGTCACCTTGTTCAAGAGCAGAGTGGCCGAGGAGCCGCCCAACCTGTGGTGGTGAGGGGCTGCACTGGGGGCTGCTTCCCGGGCCCCGGGCCCCAGGCCCCACCCACTGCCGCCATGGCCAGCAGAAAGGACTGGAAGGCCCGCCGGATTCCCGGACCCCTGGTTTCTCCCAGAAGGAAGACAGCCCCACCCCACACCGTGCTGTTCGGCCTCCATGTCTGGGCTCCGGTGCCCTCATCCTGCTCCTGCCTTCCTCCGTGGGGCCCTGCTGCATGGTCAATTCTGGGCTGAGGGTTCGCACTGGGAAGTGATGGATGTTCAGTGGGCCATGATCTTAGCTGGGGGGCTGGGGCCGGGGGAGTTGGGGGCCTAGCGGGGGGCAGTCATGAACTGAGACGTGTCACCATGGTAGCAACTGTGTGGGGCCCTGACCACGTCCCCAGGGGGCTACGTGGCTGAGCCCTTCCTCCAGCTTCTTAGTCCTTGTCCCCAGACTCCTGGGTCCTGTGAGGCCATGCGACTGTGCTTAGGGGTGTGGGGTGCACATGAGCGCTTCCTGGTGGGGCTCGAGCACCCACACCAGTGTCCCTGCAGCGCAGGCCGAGGACTGCCGGTCTGCCGTGACAGGCTGAGTGTCAGACCCCTTCAGGGCAGGCTCCGGCTCTGCGTGCACGCGTGGGGACTCCTTCCTGTCGGGACAGATGGGGCCTGGAAGCTTCCAGGCGGAGCCGTCAGACACATTGGTGGCCGGGCTCAGCGAGACCCCGGGGCTGGGGCGCCACACGGCCTCCTCCCCTGGGGTCTTTGAGCCCTTGGACAGGGCCCGTTTTTGACCAGAGGGGCTGCCTCGTCCTGCCCGCCCCAGGAGGTCTGGGCTGCTCTGCTGGGAAGCGTGCTGGTTCCCTCGTGAGCATCACTGCATGTTTGTGGGCACGCGCATCCCTGTGCACGCGTGTGTGCCACACGTGTGTGTCTGTGTACACGCGTGGCTTCAGTAGAGGGTCTTGAAGTATTACAGCCCAGGAGGAAGGCTGGCGCCCGGGGGGGAGCTCAGGTTCCTCCTTTCCCTGTCACTTTGCTCCGCACTTTAAAAGGACAGACAGTTAGTCCCTGGCTCGTGGTGCTGAGGTCCGAGCCATGCCAGCGTAGTGGCTTGCCTTTTGCAGCCGCGGGACTCTGAGGGCCGCCATTGGGCCCCTCCTGCACACCTGCCCCCTGCCATCACCCCTGTGGAGCCTTGAGGGGCGGGTGGGCCTGGCAGCCTCCTGCTCAGGGAACTTCAGCCTCAGCAGGGCTGCCCCTTGCCGCCCCCCTTCCCTGGCCCCAGGGCCGGCCTGTCCTGCTGGGACCGGGCGCAGAGTCCACCAGGCCTTGGGCTACACTCCTGGAGGTGCCCCTTGGCCACCACCTGCCCCAGGACTCCCAGACCCCGCCAGCTGACTTCTCAGTGTCTCTGTGGGTCCTGAGGTGACCTCAAAGGAAGGAGCTGGGTGCACTGCTCTCAGCACCCTCACCTGCCCTTCCTGGGAAAATCGGTCCACAGCCCTGCGCGGCCAGGAGCCTGGGGCCTCCTGGACCAGGCTGCAGGGCAGGCCCCCGGCCTCGTGAGTGCGCATGTGGCCTGGCCCCGCACTCCGCGTGGCCGCGATGGCAGCCCTTTCTTGGGCGTTGTTCTTATTTACGGGCAGGGCTGCGGGCGTCTCCTCTTTACCCACTTGGCTCACTGTGGACGAGGTGGGCTTCCTGCTCCCTGAGCACAGAGCGCCCCCCACATCCAGGCAGAGCCCAGAGGGCCGTGTCCAGCTGAGAGTTGGGGCTGCGCCTGCTGAGGCCCCACCGAGGGCCTGACGGCCACCCACCAGCCATAAGATGCGCTCTCCTGGGCCAGGCAGGAGGCCTGAGATGCCGGGGCTCCCCACCCCGAGCATTTCTTTCAGGCTCTAAAGTGACACCTGGAGACCATGTGGTAAGTGTCAGATGGGGAGGGGGCTGGGCTGATGTCTCCAGAATAGGGCGGCCGCCACGGCTTGTCAGACGCGGGGGTCAGGAACGGCCCAGCCGACCTGGAGTCCGCTCGCTGGCCTTTGCTGCTCGGGGCGGCCTGGCTCTCCTGTCCCCGTGCCCCACAGAAGGGCGCCTCCTGGGAATACGCGTGTGTGCAGTGTTGCCTGGGTGGCGTGTCCGCAGCAGCGGGTCTGACCCGCAGGGTGGTTTCCACTGACAGCCAGGCTGGGGAGCGGGCTGCTGGAAGCCCTTGCGTGCGCAGTGTCCCTGCCGCCATCCCTTTGCTTAGAGCAAGAACTCCCACCGCCTCGACGCTCGGGCCGCTCACCAGATGTTAATAACGTGCTTATTTTCGCTAAGTGCTGTTTTGGCACCGGTGTTAATTGCAGTTCGCATCGTGCAGCATTTTACACTGGGAGGGAGCCCATCCTCACCGTCCCCAGTTGGCAGGAGTGGGCCGTTGAGCGGCAGACCATATGCTGCGAGCTGAGGAAGCGTGGTCTTCGCCTGGTCAGCAGTAGCAGCTGTGTGTGCGTGCGTGTGCGTGTGCAGACCTGTGTGCATGTCTAGGTGCACATTCACGTGTGCGTGAACACGTGAGCATGCATTGTGTGTGTGTACACGTGAGTGCATTGTATGTTCGTGTGCGTGCGTGGGCATGTGCACTCGTCTGCGTGTGGCTGGGGGTGGTGAAGGAGGACACGCCGGGCATTTTCGGTTTCCCTTGGTCTCAAGGCTGGCCCCGCGTCTCGGGCTGTGGCTCTCTCCTCCCGGGGCTCGCACAGGCCGGGTGCTGTGGCCCGGCCGCACAGCTGAGCAGCACTGGGCTCAGGCTTCAGGGGGACCCGCAGGGGAGGCGTTTTGAGCCTGAAGGGAACAAGGACACTTGTGGCCTCAGGTCCCCTCCTCTGTGAGTGGCTTTCCTCCTTTCCACGTGAGGGTGGTGGTTTTTGGCAAACGGGGGGTCGCCTTGTATGCCTGTCGCCAGGATGCAGACCTGAGAGGGTCTCCTGGAGGGCCTCGCCGCTCACCCCAGGGCCGTGGTGGTCCTGCAGGGCCAGGTGGGGCTCCCGCAGGGGCCTGCCCCTTGGACCGCCCTGCAGGGGCAGCCTCCCTGCACACCCTCCGTCACGCTCTGCAGGTGGGACCAACAGAAGCTTGGGGAGGGCCCAGGGGCTGGGCTGAGCCTCTCCTGACCAGGGGGCACCTCAGCCCAGCTTGTAGGACCTTGGGTGCTGTGGAGAGCGGGCGCTGCGGCCACACTGGGTTCCTTCCCAGGCCCCTGGAGGTGGCTGAAGTCAAGTGACCTGGAGGAAGGGCAGTGTCGGGGGCCTCACCACCTGAGTGGATGCCTCGAAGGAGGTGCCCTGTTTCCTCCGCTCCCGGGATCTGAGTGTTGCTGAGATCTTAGGAGAGGAGGCACCTGTGAAGACGAGGCCTGGGGGTGCTGCCGCCGTCAGCTGGGGTTCCGTCGTCTCAGACCCAGGCAGGAGGTGCCGCACCGACGCCCCGGGTTTCAGCTCTCGATCTCTCAACACCTGGGTCCCCATCCCTTGCCCTGTGCAGACCCCATGGCGTTCATCAGTCTCCTCAGCATTTGGGGTACAGGGTTCTAACTAGAAGCTTCCAAGGCCCACTGAACAGGGTGAGCACATGCCCTGAGGGAATTTGTTGGGCCCTGAGCCTGACGCAGGCCTGTCTCTGTCGTCTAATCGTCCAACTTTATAGAGGCCTTTCCGTTCATGTCGCAGGCTCAGGGCAGCTGGAGGCGAGGTGGCCGGGGCCTTTGAGTTGAGGCCCCATGGCGGCCCCACGGGCTTCGAGGCAGAGGCTGCAGCTGCACCGAGCACGCGGGGGCTCTGCTTGGCATAAGCCTCGGTCCAGAATCAGGCAGAGTGTGGGGAGACAGAGCCCCAAGGGGCAAGGGACGCTTCCAGTAAAATCTAGAGGTGTCGGCTAGAACCGTGACTAGTGCTTGCGTGTGTGACAGTGTGAGCGTGTGTGTGCGTGTGGTGTGGGTATGAGGCAGGGTGTGTGAGGAGGCAGGTGTGAGGGGGTGTGGGACCTGTCCCCGTCACTGCCTGGTGTCTCCTTTCCACGCTGGCGCCCTGCCGCTCCTCTGCCCCGCCCTCTGCCGCCGACCAGTGCCCATCCCTCTGTGACTTTGAACCATTTGTGTTCAGCATGGACGTGTTCTGGGGGCCGAGATTTGAGAGGCTGGGGGGTCCCCATGTCCCTGACAAGGTGCTAAATGACTGAGCGTCCTGCCCCCCACCCCTGCCACCGACTTCACAGTGATGCTCACACCTAGATTGTCACGTTCAGTAACAAACTACATCTGAATGGAACTTCATGTAAATTTGTGGCATGGAAAACATTTCCAATAAAGTGAAACGGATTTAGAAAACTCGGCAGCCTGTGGTCTTTTAGTGGGGGCACCTTCCTGTGCCCGATGCCCGTCACTTTGTGACCCCCGGGAAAAGGCCGCAGCAGAGCTGAGGAGGTGGGGGGCTGTGCTTCGGCAAGGCTGGGCCAGGGGGTCTGAAACAGAGGTACAGGAAGGGGGTGACCGTCGCAGGAGCACACTGCAGCGTGGGCACTGGGGGCCAGGAGTGGTGGCCGAGTTGGCCTTGCCAGTGGGAGGCTGCAGGGTGGGGAGCGGGTCCCAGCCTGGCCCAAGCTGCCCCCGCACACGGAGGGGCACAGAGGTGGCTTGGGTACTGTCGGGGCCGTGGTAGCCCAGCCTCAGGCAGAAACTACTTTCCTGTTCACTGGACCTGGGCTCTTGGTGTGGCGACTGACATGGGGAGACCAGGGCAGCTGCTCACAGAGGAATGGGGGCCTCAGTAGGGGGTGAGTGCAGGGCTATGGGGGGGGCTGAGTGATGGAGCCCCAGTGGTGTCTGGTGAGTCCTGCCTGACCCTCGGGGTGAGGGGCACGGGGTGGAAGCCTCGTCCTTCGCAGTCTGAGCCATCACCAGGGCTGGATGTACACTATTGGGACCCCCCACCCCAGATGTTTCACTTCCGGCTGGGGTGCCGGGGAGGAGAA